CCCTGCCGCGACCTTGACCGGTTTGGGCGCCGTGGGCGGCGGCGGCGGCTTGGGAGACACAGGCGGCGGCGGCGTGCTGTGGGCACGCTTCACCTCTGCGGAGAGGAGGAGATTCGCACGGCAGTGGGAGGCCGCACTGACCATGCTGGCACAAGCCCTGCCGCAGCTCTCCGCCAAGCACCCAGGAACCGAGATACAGCCCTCAGCACTGCTGTGGGTTCCGGCCGCAGCCCTCGCTGCCCCTCCGCCCCGCCCCTGCCCCAAGTTATCCGCGACCGCCAAGGGGCGCGCTTTCCCGTGCAAACCTTTTCAAACCCTGCCCTGTGTGCCCCACCTTTATCCCCCTCCAGGTGTAACTGCTGCAGCCATTGGCCCTTCCGTTGCTTGACTGCCACAGGGCCTTTGCATCTCTGATCTGTCTGCCTGGAATGCTTTCCCCTCCTTCCTGTGCTGGGGTCACTCGGCTGGGTCAGAGTTCTCCCTCTACTGGTGTTACTATTTATGGGGTTCTGTGCCGCCTTCACTGAGCAACGTGAGGACTAGCCACCATCCTCCCAACTCTGGGCTGACAGAGTTGTCCTGTGGGTGGATGGATGGATGAAAGGGCCTGAGGACACTTTCCCACCCCACTCTACCTGGCTCCCATCAAATCCTCTCAGACTTTGGAGTGGGGAAGTAGGGTGGAGGCCCTTCCCCGGCTAGCTCCCTCACCTACCTGGACTGCTGGGACCTGGCAGTGGCACCTTCTTGGAGGCAGGTGTGGGTGACCCGTGGATCTTCGGCACCGGCTGAGCCAGGACAGGCTTGGGAGAGACAGGTGGCTTGGCTGGCTTCCGGGCATCACTGTCTGGTGGGGGCAGTGGGGGCAAGTGCATCAGGTCGGAGGGAGGGGGCTCGGTGGGTGGTGGTGGTGGGGGCAGCTCCAGGGGCCCAGCCTGCTCAGAGGCTGGTCGGCGGCGCACAGTGCCTGTGCCATTCTGGTACACAGACAGTGGTGGGGGTGGCTCGAGACCTGCCTCCCGCTCCTTGGCCTTGGGCCGGCGCTTGACTGTGTCGGACTCAGTCAGGATGAACTTGATGTTCTCCTGCTGGCTCTGCTTGGCTCGGATGCGCCTCTTGAGTGTGGCACTGGCTTCCACCCGGGCCAAGGGCGGGCCCTCCCCACTCGCCTCACCTTTGGCTGGACCTCGGGGCCGCTGCCGGGCGGTGCCTTCCTCCACAAAGTGGCTGTGATCTGCAGGCCCCACTGGTTCCCCAGGCCCTCGGCGGGCAGTGGCCAGAAGTCCTGTGACGGGCCCACTGAGCGTACGGCGCCGGTTTACCACCTCACCATCAGGCCCAATGGCCTCCTTGTGCTTCACTGAGGCCAAGGCTGTGGCTACCCGGCCTGGCTCTGGGCTGGCAGGGCGAGGTGTGGGGTGTCCCTCAGGGGGCCTACGGGCTGCCCGGCCCCCACCCCCAATGGATGACAGTTCAAGCATGGCTGCAATGCTCTTCACACTGCCGGCACTGCCTGTGTCCACACTACCAGCCAGGTCACTAGCCCGCCGGCGTTGTGCCCGGACCCCCAGCCGGCCATTCTCGGTCCCAGACCCCTCAGTCTCAGCATCTGGTGCCGACTCATCAGCCAAGTTGGCACTGGCCATGGCTGAGCTAGAGCGCTTCGGTGGGGGTGGTGGAGGCCCCTTCTTTCGGGGCCGCACAGCGAAGGACTGGCTGCGGTTGACATTCTTGTCAGCGTTGGCAGGTGCCCGCACAGAGTGGCTTCGGCCCACACGCCGCTGGACTGTGGCATAGGGCCCCACAGCAGCTGGGACCAGCAGCTCGTCACGCTCTGGCTCACTGTCAGATGCTGCATAACGATTCAGGCTGTGGGCGCGCTTCTTGGGCCGCCCTGGCTCCACATCAGCCTCAGGGGGCAGGCATAGCATGGGCACAGGTGTGGGCACAGGTGCAGGTACAGGCCCCGGAGCAGCTGGCCCTGACTCACTTTCCACGGGCTGGGGCAGCACATAGGCAAAGCCACGGTGTGTAGGTGACTGAGGCAGCGAGCGGGGTGACATGGGTCGTTCTGTTGGTGGCAGCAACTGCGGGGTGGGCTTCACCTTGGCTGTGGCTGGGGCTGGACCATGAGTCCCCCCTGGGGCCTGGGGGGAACCTGGCCGGGCTTTAGTGGGAGTCTGGGGGGGCGTAAAGGGGCTGGCACCTGTTGGAAGGACCTGTCGTGGCTTGCCGGGCACTGGGGGCACACTGGCCCGTTTGACACTGTGGCCGTGGCGGCTGGGCCGAGCCTCCTTGGGTGGAGTGCCAGGGGCTGCCCCCTCATCCAGCAGGTACTCCTGGCTTCGTGACATGGGGCTGCCAGGCCCAGGGGGTCCATCACCCAACAGCTCCTGAGAGCTGCTCATGTGCCGTGCCCGCCCACCCAGGCTGGGCTCCTGACGCATGGAAGCCCTTGGGGTGGGCGGCAGGTGGTTGGAGGGTTTTTCAGCAGTGGCGGTAGCAGCCCCTTCTGCTGGGCCAGTCATGGCAGCCTGTAGCTCACCACTGAGCTCGCTGTCCTGGAAGGTGGTCATCTTAGGAGACTGGCAGTCAGCTGGGGCAGGCTCAGGTGGGGGCGGCGACTCAATAGCCATCACTTCAAGTGACTGTGGTGCCTTCCGGCGCAGGGGTCCCCCCTCATACTTGGCGTACTCTGCCTTCTGCAGCTCTGCCAGTTTCCTCACTGCCAGCATCAGCTTCTTCTGGTGTCCTGAGAGGGGCACGGAGCAAGTAAGGCCAGGGAGGGTGGCAAGGACCAGGAGGCGATGGGGGCCGGGGCCTCACCCAGCTTGGTGATTCCAATCTCCTGCAGGTCCTCCCAGGTGATGTCAGTGATGAAGTCAATGTTCTCGTAGCCGTTGTCCACCAGTACCTTATAATACTGGGCTAGGCCGATCATGGACAGCCACACGGCCAGGTTAGCCTATGGGGCAGGGGACACAGAGGGCAGCCAGAGTTGGCTGCTCACAGCCTGCCTTCTGCTTGAATCTGCCAGGCGAGGGGCATTGGGCCAGCCCGGCACAGAGAGACATAGGACAAAATGACAGGCCAGAGGTGTCAGCTTTGGAGACAGAAGCCCCAGGCCAGCTCATACACACATGAAAACACACACACACACATGGGGCGACCTTATCCTCAGAACAGTTTGGGGGAGAGGGAAGAAAGCACTTCCTCGCCTGCACAGGCAGCCATGGAGACAACACCCGGTAGACACATCCCACACGTCATGGACAGACACAGCATCATCAAACAGATATACATGTACACGCACATCCTGCATCCCAGCCATACACGGGCACTGACACCCCTCTGTGTCACGCTCACACCCTCTCACCATTTCCCCACTTGCATCAGGCAAAGTCACATATCCACATCACACGTGTGTGCAAATACCCATGATGGTCTTCACCCAGAACCTCCCAGTGGCTTCCTGAATGGCATCCACCTGTCCACACTCCCAGCTGGACATCAGTAACGCACCAACACACAACATACTTGGTCACTCCTTAGGTTCATAAAGCTAAGTGAGGCCCAGACATTCTTGCTAGGAGGACCTCTGAGCTGCTGACTGAAGGGGGCAAAGCAGGGTGGATGAGCATGAACTGGCCTGTCCCCGACGCACAGCCCTGGGGGCTTTTGGTGGCCATGGCATCTCCCCCATTGATGGATGGGGAACCACAGCTTGGCAAGAGGACCAGAGAGGCAACATTGATGCAACAGGCCCTGGGGCCACCTTGTCCTGGCTCAGAATCTGTCCCACCACCTGGGTGCCTATTGTAACAGTGTGGCCTGTGGTCGGTGTAGGTGTCAGCCGTCAGTGTAGCCAGCACATGCAGTTGAATGTGTGGGTGTGTGCATGCAGTCATCAATGGGCACCTTGAATATATTTAGGGTATGTGTGCTGTCTGTGTACATGAATCATGCTCACACACATCTTCCCCACGTGTACCTGGGTCTGTGCAAACACATCTCATCAATGTGGGCCCCTCTGTGGTGTCTGAGTGGGTATGCAATGAACAGCATTGCAGAGATGCCAGGTGTCCCTGTGTGCTGCCTGAGTGTGGAGGAGGTCTTTGCAAAAGCATGTAGTGAAGATGGGAAACTCTCCCCTCACCCTGAAGGCCCTCACGGATTATCTCCCTGCCTTAGGGAGGCTGGCCTCAGTGCCTGTGATGGACAGAGGCCATCCAGGCTGGTCACTGTTGGGGGACATCCTCTGCTCTCCTCTCACTGGAGCCCCGGAGGACAGGGAGGGCTGTAGCCAGGGAGTCAGTCTGTCTGTCTGCCCATCCGGGGCCTGGCCACCAGGGCGCAGAGGGCCTTACGGGTTTGTGCTCAGGCAGCCAGTCAGGAATGCTCAGGCTGCTGATCTCTGCCGTGATCTTCTTCCGATGGCCTGGCTTGGTGACCCCAATGGCTGTGAGGTCCTAAGTAGAGGAGAGGCCCTTTAGCTGGAGGCTGGGGGCCTATTTCTGGATCATGGCTGGCGGCCAGCCTTCAGGGAGCTTACCTCAGGGGTCATACGGCTGATGGTGGGCAGGTCATAGCCAGCGCTGAGGAAATTGGGTGCATACAGCTGTAGCTGGAACGTGGCGAGCCACTGGCTAACAGCCTCAGCGCTCTGGAAGACACAAGGCACCCGCTGCAGGCCCGCCCAACCACCCACCCACCCGCCAGGCTCGCACCCAGCCACTGAGGTGCCTCCTTCTCTGTGCAAGCTCAGTCTGGTGTCCGCTGGTCCTTCTGTGGCTAGGTCAGCCTGGCACCAGTGCTCCCTCCTCACTCTGTGGTCCTGGATGCCGCCGTCTTGAGCATCGCCCAGCATTGCAGCCTCCTTCCGTGATCTCCACCAAGAGGGTCCAGCTGCCCTGACTTCCCCCTCCCCTCAATCCTGCACCAGGGACACCCTGCAGTGTGGCCCCATGGGAGGGGCTTTGGGAATGGGGCCTCAGTGCTGCTGCTCACTCCCTGGAAAGTGGGCTCTATCCAGAAGTATATAGGACTCAGCCAGCAGCTCACGCCTTCACCAGCACACGGGTCATGCACACAGGACCCATTTCACTCATGCACACACCTTGTCTCATTTCACACCCATGCCCTTTCACAAGCACACACACAGGCACACGTGCCCGCCTCGCAGTCATACCACCCACACGTATGCATACCCCTGTTCACCTCACACCCATGTCACATTTCTTAGACACATTAGCTCACATACACAGCCCACACAATAGACAACACCTACACACAAACTGACAGACAGACAGAAGGACCGGGCTGGCCTGTCAAGGGCACCCAGCTGTACTGTGGCCAGGCCAGGCAGGCTACCCAGGGCGCCCCTCCATGCATCTGCCCCAGGCCCTGTACCTTGCCTTCCGACGCCAGCTCCAGCTTCTTGGGTGGCTGCTCCGCATAGACCTGCCCAGCATGGGCCACTGGAGGCTGGGACCGGGCTGCACCTGGGGACGAGAGGGCAGGGTGGGGCAAGGGCCGCTCAGGGGCCACCTCCCTGCCAGGCCAGCAGTGCTACGTCCTTGCTCTTACCTGTGGAGCCCTCTGGAGGCTTGATGGGACTGTCCCCAGGGCTGGACTCGGAGACAGACTTCTGGGAAAGCACTGTTGCCAAGAGCTGCAACCCAGACAGGCTGGCTGGCCAGTGCTGCTCTGGACCCAGGCCACCCCAGCCCTGCCACCACCACACCTACCTTGACCCCTTCAGAGCCTGCGTGCAGGGTGTGGGCCCCACTGCTCCGGCCACCAGCCACACTGCTCAAGCTGCCACTGCGGTCCCCACCTGCTAGCACAAAGGAACATCAGCTGGTGCTGGCCCTGCCTGGCTTGGAGGCTGCATTGCAGAAGTCCTGCCATTCTGGCCTTCCAGAAGCCCCCCACCTACCTGCAAAAGGCTTCCTCAGCACCCAGATCTCTTCAGGGGGTGCAGAGGGTCCCGATGTGCTGCCTCCCTGGGGTGGGCTTGGTTCAGTGCCTGCTCGGGAACCTGTGGGCAGAGTATAGCCTCCCTAAGTCCTGGACCAGCCCAGCCTGGGGGCTTGACATCGAGAGGAGGGCATCCTCTGGCCTAGCCCCTGAGCCTGGGTAGAGCAGAGGCCCAACACATGCACACTTCGGAGGTCAGCACCATAGCCTCCCTCTGCCTTGGCTATCTCTAAGGAGCTGAGAGACCCTCAGAAGACCCCTCCCCACCCCAGACATTTGAAAGCAGGAGTGTGGCAGAGAGGGGCCCAAGTCAGTGGCTGTCCTACCAGTGGCCACTGTAGGGGAGGCAGGAGTTGGTGCAGATTGCCAGAGAGAGCAAACTCCTCTGTGCTAGAGGAACAGGGGAGAGGAAAGAGGCACCCAGGAGCCTGGGGCCAGGCTACCCACCCAAGGGAACTAGATTACTATGGGTAGGCTGTCTACACCTCCTAACTGGACTCCATCCTGCTCTTTCACCCCATCTGTCCATCTTTGTGATCTCACCAGTCTCCTGTCTAAAACTATGGCCCTGTGGCCATGGTCATGCCCTTCTCCCTCTTCTTCACTCTGTGCCAGCCAAACTGGGCCTCCTTTGGTAACTTACATATGTCACATTCTTTTTTTTTTTTTTTTACGCCTACAGCACCCGGTCTTCCTAGGTGGTCTCCCATCCAAGTACTAACCAGGCCCTACTCTGCTTAGCTTCTGAGATCAACGGGATCGGACGTGTCCAGGATGGCATGGCCATAGTTATATGTCACATTCTTTCCTGTTTCCATGCCTTTGCACATGTGGTTCCACTGTCTAGATTGCTCTGCCTATGGTCCCTGCTGGTCCCTCCCATTTCTCAAGGCCTTCTCTGACCACACTGCCTAAAGCATGTCATCTGTGTCATTGGTTGGTACATTTCCTTCCGTGTTTACATCACTGTCCCTTGCTCCCCTCCCTCCCAGGGGGCAAGCTCCTTAAGAGCAGAAATGGTGTCCATCTGGGTCATCTATTCCTAGTGCTCAGTATACAATGTCTGTTGAATAAATGAAAGAATGGCATAAGGACACTGATGAGGAGACCACTGGTAGGACACACTGCTGGATACCACTCTGGATCCCGCACCTAGCAATGGCTAGCATTTGGTCCTTGCCCTGCCACCCAACATGGGTGCACTTGCTTCCTTCTGGCCCATGAGCCCAGGCCTGGATGGGACTTGCCTGCTCGCTTGACAATGGCCTCTCCCAGGGAGGACGGGAAATAGCCCACTCGGTCATTGCCCGTCCGGTTGTCATGGATACAGCCCTTCCATCGGCCATCTGGATGCTGCTCAAGGACCTGGCCAGATGAGGTGGAGGGAGCACACTTAGGGAGACTTCCAGGTCAAGCAAGTGGGTGGCCTTGGCTTCCTGCCCACACCCTGAGACTTCCTGATTACTGTGGGGAGTGTTGTGGGGTGAGCATCCCAGATCCCACCCATCCCTGAATCCAGGCCATCCTTACTGTGATGATATCCCCAGCTTTCACATTGAGGCTGGTCAGATCATAATTGTTGCAGTAATCCTTGGTCGCCCGGACCTGCAGAGCCGCAGAGGCCTCTGGGGACAAAAGAGGTAGAATCCCCGGTCCTGTGAACCAGCCTGGCCCAAGTCCCACTCCAGGCCCCCTGCGCAACTCAGGCCCACCTCGTAGCAGCTGCTTGATCTCCTTGCTGGCCTGGGATGTGGTAAACTGGTGCACGATATCCAGGGCTGTCTGGCTGTAGGTGTTCCTCACGTGGGCGTTGATTCCATTCTGCATGTGCCAAGGGGTGAGACCTGTCAGGAGTCCTCATGCGCCCACTCGGCCCCAGCTGCCCCTGTGCCCTCAACTCACGTCCAGCAGCAGCCGAACCACTTCTGTCTTCCCACAGAGTGCGGCCTCGTGGAGGGCTGTGCCGGACTTGGTCTGGCGGTTAATGTCAATGCCAGCTTGGAGGAGGAGTCTGACAGGAAGGCAGGGGGAGCAGGCAGGGCCTACAGCAGGAGCCCTCTGTCCCAGCACCCCAAAGCTGAGCCCCAATTTCCAAGGGTTTGAGGATGAGCCAGCCCTGCCCGCCTCCCTGATAACATGGTACCTGACAGTGATCAAACACTTGTGGAAGTGCCTGCCCTTGCTAACCCTTCACAGCGGTTATCTCGTCTCATCTCAACACAGGCACTGCTGAGATGCCCACTTTATGGATGGAGGAACTGAGGCTCAGAGAAGTTAAGCATGTCCGTAAGTGTCAGGGCTATCTATGATAGAGCCTAGGCTGTGGGCCCATGGATGCCCCGTCCCCAGCCCTCTCCAGTGCATCCTTTATGTGGGCAGCTGGAGGCATCCCTGGCATCCAGAGGCCTGATCACATGCCCACGGCTCCCTGGCTGTTCCTGTCTTATCACCAAGCCAGGAGCAGGACCCCCGAGCTGGGTTCCCCTCCCCCTACCGCCATATGACCATACCTGATGATGTCAATGTGGCCGTTCTTGGCTGCCAGGTGCAAGGGACTAGTGCCATTGGGGTCAGTGGTGTCCCCTGGCCGGGGCTCCAGCAAGGCTGCGCACATGTTGCTGCTTAGGAGTAGCTGGACCACCTTGACGGAGGGGTCAAAATAAGGGGGCATAGAAATGGGGCAGGGGGTTGCAGGTCTGTCTCTGACTCCAGCCTCAGAAGAGGAAGACGGAGCAGACAGAGTGCTGGTCATCTCCCAGGAGACTTACCCCAACACGGCCGAACTCACAGGCCAGGTCCAGGGGCGTCTTCCCCGAGTTGTCCACCATACATGGGTTGGACTGGTGCTGGAGCAGCATCTCAGACTGCAGGGCCCACAGAATGCAGTCAGGCCCAGGGCGTCTGTTGAGCTTACACCACTCCAGGCACCCTGCCACCCTTGAGGTGGGCCTTACCACATCGTAGTGACCATGCTGGGCTGCCAGGTGGAGGGGGATATGGCCCTCATCCGATGGGATGTTCACTGCCGAGCCCGCCTTTAACACCAGTTTCATGGGTTCCTTCCGGCCCTGCCAGGCCGCATAGTGCAATGGCCGCATGCCTGATGGCAGGCAGGGGCTGTTGGAAGCTGGCTTCTGACCCTGAGCCCACCCTGACCTCCAGGTCATGGATCCCATGAGGCCCTGCCTAGACCCAGCCTGAGACTTTGGGCAGAGACCTTAATCAAGGGACCATCCAGTTCTCTGGGGACCCCTGACTTCAACTCCCTGCCCCTGGCTCTGAGTCCCTGACAGGCCTTGCCTTTGTTGTCTTTGATGTCCACAGCAGCCTGGGCTTCCAGCAGCAGGGTGATCAATTCTGTGTTGCCATTCAGGGCCGCGTGGTGCAGGGCAGAGAAGCTGGGGCAGGTAACAAACATTTGGGTAAGGACCAGGGCACCAGGCCTTCCCCAGGAGCCCCCAGCCCCCATCCTAGACTGGCAGTCTCTGGCTTAGAACTCACCCATCTGGGTCCTGGAAGTTGACATTGATCTTCTTGGTGGAGCCCAGGAGCTCTGGGAGTAGGAATGAGACACGGTGAGGAAGGCTCTGTCCAGCCCCTCCTTCAGCCTGCCTGGGTCCCAGCCCCCTCTAAGCAGCCTAAGAACAGGCAGAGGGTGCTAACTGGCTCCCTGGCAAGCTAAGAGCCAAAGCTATCTAGGTCTTTAGTCTAGAAACATTCATTCATTCATTCGATTCTGTTCCCTGCACTCAGCTACAGGTACCAGCTTTTGGACCTTGGTTTCCCACTAAACTAAGATGTTGGGAGGTTCACAGAGCCAGAGTTTCCAGGCTTGTCCCTGCCTGGGCACAAAAGCCAGGGCTGTGCACACACACAGGCGCACACGTGCACGTGTACCCCCTCCCTTGGGACTCTGGCTGAGCACCTGCTGATGGTGGGAGGGAGAGAGCCGGACCAATCTGTCTCTCAGAAGAACCCAGATGGGCTGGGGGTGGCCTGGGAAGGCTGGGACACCCGGAAATGGGGGTATCTCTGGGGGTAAGATCTGCATTTCCAGGATGCAGCCTTCCCTCCCTCCTAGCCCTGGGCCTGGCCAATATAGATGAGCCCCACACAGCAAGGCAGGAAAGGGAGGAAAGTGAGTAGGCCAGTGCCTCTGAGTGACCACACAAGAATGGCTACCTCATCCACAGGGGCACACTCAGGCCCAAGGGTCAGCTGCCTAAAGCCCAAGGGGCTCAAACTTCCCCTTTGGGGCTCACTTGGGGCTTCCCTGGTCCTGGCCCCCACCAGCTGTCTGCCAGAGGAGGGGAGCCCACCGATGCCCTCCCTGTGGGCTCAGGTCCAGCCGGACCTGGGCCAAGCCCCTGCCTGTCTAGGCCATGGTTACATAACCCATTTGTGGGTCAGTTGCTCTGTGAGGGAGGGGCTGGCAGGACAGAAGCCCCTTTGTCCAGGCCCAGTACAGGGATGGGGGCGGGGGGCCCAAGGGCAGAGAACTGAGGGAGTCAAGTCATAGAGGGGCTGCTGCAGGGCCATTCACTGCAGAATGTGTGTCCCCCAATGGCCCACAAAGCCCATGAAGTCAGATGGGCCCAAATTTGAATCTTCTCTCTGCCCCTTACTAGTCCTATGGCCTTGGCCCTGAGCTTGAAAGAGACTACCAGGTTGGCCTCTTAGACCTAAAGATGTTCCCAGACATAAAGCACGAAGGGTCTGGCACAGAGTCAGTCAGCTCAGTAAGTGGTGATGACTAATATTACCTCTATAGGAACCCCACCCCCACCCTCCAGCAAGGGGGACTTCCTTCTAGCAGTTTAGGCTCAAGAAAGAAGCATTTCCACTCTCCGCCCCTCCCCCTCTGCTCAGACACTTCGCTGGCACTGAAGTCCATCTATATCAGCAGCAATGCCACCCTTCCCCTCAGTGGTCCAGGCCAAAACCTTGAAGTCAGGCTTGGGTCCCCTCTTGACTATCTTAAATCTTTTCTATTGGTAAATCCTATTGGCTCTACCTTCAAGACACTCTCAAAGCATACTCAGGACCCTACCATTTCTCACTACTGCCATTGTCACCACCCAGAACCAGGCTAGTGTCTCTCAAAGAATCACTGCCATCACCTTCCCACTGGTGTCCTCGCTTCCTCCTTGCCCCCCTTCAGTCAATCCTCCATATCCATTGAGGTCAGGGGGACCCTGTTAGAACATGAGACTGATCCCCTAACTCTTCTCCTGAAGACTCTCCAACAGCCCCTGCCTCACTAGACAATGACTCTGCATGATACAGTCCTTTGAATTCCTCAGCACCTGTTCCAGTCACAGCATGGTGCTCTAACACACTGGCTGCCCTGCCACAGGAACTTTGTACATGCTGTGTATATGTATGTGGGCTATTCTTCCCCTAGTTATCCCTATGATTCCTTCCCTCATGTCCTTCAGGTCTTTATCCAAATGTCACCTGCTTGGTGAAGCCTCCCTGGTCTCCCCATCTAAAATGGTAAACCCCGCCTCATCCCATATCTGTTGTATTTTTTTTTCTTTAGCTCCTATCACGATCATTAATCTTGTTTATTGTCTATCTCTATCACTAAACTGCTAGCTCCAAGAGGACGAGAGTTTTTATCTATTTTGCTCACTGCTCTCTCCTTCATGGCTGAAATAGTGCCAGGAGCATATAGGGTGCTCAGTAAATTGGAGACTAGTCATATCCTAGTCCCACACATTCTATCCACCTTCCAGGGCCAGCTTCAGGCATGTGACCTACACAGTTACTCAAGCCCTCTGCACCCCCCACCCCCATCTAGTTGGATGCTCTGCTATTGCCATCTTGAAATTCTTAATTTTTAGACAAGGCATCCATGTTTTCATGTTGTACTGAGCCCTGTGAATTATGCAGCCTGGCCTGCCATAGTCACTTATTTAGCTGAAGAGAGCATGACCTGGTTGTCCTGTAGTACCCCGCACTATGCCCAGGGCCACGTTCTCAACCACCAACCCTGAAACACTCTGCCCAACTCTAATGTTTGTTTGTTAACGCCCACTTTTTTTAGTTCCAGTGTAGCCAGCTCTTAGCTTCTCCCACAAAACTTCCTAGGCTGGGTCCCTCTTCTTCCCACAGCCAGGGCCTCCCAGGAAGCAGGGCCAGGTGCTCTGAGTGTAACCCATAGCCAGGCCCACCTGCTCATCTGGCTATACCTGCAGGAGCTGAAATTTTAGAGGGGATGGAGGTCAAGGCCCAGGAAGTGACACGGTTACCAGCGGGGAGGAGGAGTCTCCAACCCAAAAGGGACCACTGCCCATATGAGGAGAGACATCTTGCTAAGGTCATCTTACCCCTCTCACTATAGCTGGTCTCCTCAAAGAGGGAAAACAGCTGGAATTGGACAGAGGGAAGCCTGAGGTCTTGGAGCACTCCCCCAATTCCTGTGGAAGACACTGGGCACCAAAGAAGGTACCAGAACTGAAGCATGCCTGGAACATGAAAGGCTGCTTCCCCTGTAGACAGGTACTCTAATGAAGCTGCAGTAGAGCATGGCTGAATGGGTCTGGGTAGGTGAGGGACAAAGAGGGAAGGAAGTACCAGGATGAAGGTCGCAGGAGCTTCCTTTCCCTTTCCGCAAGGGCACTAAGTCCTACGGATTCCACATCGGTAATAAGACATAAACTTCGCTCCCCAACATGACTTGGGCTCTCCCATCTCTCATCTCCTCAGCCCTCTAACTGCTCTCCTGGGACCATCTATACTTTTGAGGTCAGCTCCAAACTCCAGGCTGCAGAGGCCCCATCCCCATTCTCACCCTACCCTCATGGCCTCCCTCCACCTCTCTGACCAGATGCTCCTCCAACCACGGAAGCCACTCATAGGCCACTGCCACAGAGTCACTTCTGTCCCCTAAAAGGATGTGGTACTGGCCTCCTCTGGTCTCATCTCAGAGTAGCTTGAGCCCTGTGGCCTCCAGTGGCAAGGCACCCTCTCAGTTCCCCCTAGGAAGCAGGGCCAGTGCAGTCTCCTCCCAGCTCCCTGAAGGCAAGGAGCTCCTGGCCAGATGCTGGAAAGGAACTATTAGTGGGCCAAGGTGAGAGCGCACGAACGCTGGCCTGTAGTCTTCAGGGAATTTGGAAAGGGGAGGTTGGGCCTGAAGGAAGGGTAGAATACCGCCCACCCCCCGGCAGATGACCAGCCCCAAACAGGCATTTTCCCTCCAGAGCAGTCTTTTCTTTCCCTCAAGGACAACAGCTAAGGGTGCTAGTGCCTGTGCTTATAAAAGGAGACTCCCTTCAAGGTGGGATGGGGGGCTGACAGAGCCTGGGGCCACACTGTGGGGGCTGGGGTGGAGGGATGGTGCCAGCATGGGGAGATTATGAGAACAAGGATCATGGGAATACCTCTGGAGTCTGGGGGACCCTAAGGAGCACGGCTGGGTAACCCCCACCCCATGGCCCAAACTCCAGCTGTACTTTGCTGAATCAAAATACATCTTACTCCAAAGCAGGCCAGTGTTGCCATGACAACTGAGCTAATTCATGGAGGGATTTCTTGTCTGACTTATTATGCCAGTCCCTGTGAGTCAGAGCCCAAAGACCAGGCCAGGCAGGGGTGGATATAGAGATCCAGGTGAGACCCAGGTAATTGTAAAAGTTCCCACAACCTTCTCTGGGAACTCGGAGTAGAAGAGAGGAGGAACCCCCAAATCTGATGCTCTCCCATCCCTGGCCCATGCATTCTGGAAGTCATCCTAGTTAGTGCTTACTGAGCACTTAGTAAGAGCCTGGGCTTCATGTGTGCTCTCTCACTGTCCTTATAACAATGCTAGGAGACAGGGACCACAATTATCCCCATCCTACAGACAAGGAGACTGAGGCCTGGAGAGCTGGAGTTGTCTGTGCCCAAGGTGGCACAGCCACTAGGTGGAAGCCTTGACCTTGCATAGCACCTCTCAATCTCTCCATCTGCTTTGGAGGCTCAGCTGAGGCTGCCTCTGCCTGGAAGTCTTCTCTTTCTGAGCCCTGAGGCCCTGAAGTCAGCTCCAACTGGGTGCGGAAGGCACAGTCAGCCTGTGTGTGTGTGTGTGCCTGAAAGGCACAGATGTGAGGCTCTCTAATTGCATAGAGCAGACAGGAGCCAGCCAAGTAGGCTGTAGCAGGAGGGTCCCCCTGGGGCTCAAGAACCCACCTCCCATCTGCCCTGAGGTAGTCTCAGTTCTCAGCACCATCCTTGGAGAGAAGAGAGGAGGCCTCCGTGGCTTATATATAGTCCCTGGGGTGGGATGGGCACTGGGGTGCCTAGAACCCAGATGCGACCCTGCAGAGCCCTGCCTGCGCCCCTACAGGTGCCCTGACACACTGACTCGGCCATACGTGCGCAGCCGCACATGCCGCTGGTCCACACGCCCATCCATCCATTTCCAGCAGTAACACCCCCCCACCTTCCCCCCCACCCCCGCTCCAGGGTCTGAGTTGAGCTGGGGAGTGCTGGGATCAGGGCTCCAAGCTTCCAACCCTTCCCTGGGGTCCCCACAGCGCAAGCTCAGGATAGCCAGTAGGAGCATCCCCCTTCCTCACAGCCCCTTTTCCCAGCAGGGAAGCCAGAGACCACCAGGGTCCGTTGCAGGGTCTGTACTCGCTTGGAGCTCAGCCTGCCCCGGGCTGGGCGACCTTGGCCTCTGCTTCCCCATCAGTAAATGGCCCCCAGCCAGCCATGCCTGGGCAGCCACACCCCCAGCACGGTTCTGTTCCCCCCTTCCCTGCAAAGCATGTTATTAAACATGGGGCGGGGAAGGGGTCTGACAGGGACTGTCAGCCTGTGATGCCCCTCACCGCAAGGGCCCCCTCCCTCTCTCCATGGGGAAGGCATCTGCCTCGCCCTTTAAAGGCCCAGCAGAGACCTCCAGCTGTCAGCCCGCAGCCCCCAGAGGGAAGAGGACAGAGGCAGGGAGGGATGCGAACGCCTGCGCCCAGGGAGGTGGGTGCCGCCAGGTGCCTATTGGGGGCTCGGGGAGACTGCGGGGAGCAAGGTGCCGCCCCTCCTTCAGTGCTGGGGCGGGTGATGCAAACCAAGGGTCAGGGCGCTGCTGGCCCCGCCCCGCCCCCGGGGACCGACAGTATCCCCCTCCCCGGCCTGCGCCAGTAGGGGT